TTCACCACTCTTCTCACCAACATTCATTCATAAGGACGGTCTTCAAAACCCATCCCAAATCTCCTCTCTCTCCATTCCTTCCTCTCTCTCCTCTTCTCTCTCTGAGCTTCCTCTCTCTAGAGCTCCCTCTCGTTACTATCAGATGAAGAACACAGAGCAGTACTTTTTTAATCCAGTCTCCGTTGAAAATACCCCTAGTTAAACTTCTCTCTTTTGTAAAAGCTCTCTGGAAACACTTCTCCCTCCCTTCCCCGCCTCTCTCTCTCTCTCTCTCGAGTTTGAGAGTAGAATCTCACCTTTTTGAGGATTAGGGCTAAAACTAGACTTGGGTTTTCTGCATTGAAATGGAAGGAGGCTCGGGGCATTACAACCCACGCACTGTCGAAGAAGTATTTAAGGATTTCAGAGGTCGTCGAGCTGGAATGATCAAAGCTTTAACCACTGGTATTCCAATGCCTTCTAATTTTTTGTTCCCGTTTCTGTATATTTCATATTTACTGTTCTTTTTCCTTTGTTTTAATTTGTTCTTCATGCTTCCCTCGTTACGAATTGTTGTTTATTTATTATTTGTACAGATGTTGAAAAGTTTTATCAGCAATGTGATCCAGGTAAGCTTGAATCATCTTTTTTTCATTCCTTGTTAATGGGTGTTTTTGGGTTGTTCAATTTTATTGCTTTTGTATATTGTGACTTCTTTTTGCATCATTCTTTAACTATTTTAGTTGGGTTTTCATGAATTTTTATTTCAGCCAACATGCTTATTCTTTTGTTTTTTTTTGTTTTTCCTTTCTGTTTTCATTATTGTTACTTCTCCTTTTATTATTTGCAGTATTTGTCTTCCTTATAAATCGTATCTGGGGTTCTCATTTTTGTAGTAACCAGCATACTAATTTTGCCCTTTCTTATTTCCTAGATTTATCTCCCCATGGATTAATGAGAAAGCTTGATACTTAAAGCTAAGTCAACCAACAATTTTTGACTTTTCAGTCCCGCCTTTTTGATTCTCATGTTTTGACTCTTTATATTTCTTTCTTTTGTTCGCATTGCTGTATTTTTTTTTTCCTTTCTGATTTTTGCGAAACGAATATATGGGTCTCTATTAATAATATGCATTCTCAGTTGCAAACAGTTGTGTGCTATCGCTTGTGACTTATACAGTATGTTATTTATCAGAAGGAAGGGAATTTTTTTTTTGCTTATATGAAAAGGGAAAAAGGGAGTTATTAGGCTTGGTCTAGTTGGCTATTTTATTTTTTGGGTGTTTTCTATCATTTCATATGATGGTGACTGGGTTCTCAAGAGTTTAAACGGAACTTTTTTCTTATTTTCTGTGTATCTTCTTCACCAACAATATTCTGTCTCTGACCCTGGAATCTTGGGCATTGTTAGTGTGTTTAATCAAGTGACCAACTGATATATAACTTGGACAATTTGTTGCTTTCTGTTACATGACCTAAGTTTCTTTCTCAAAGTAATTTTTGGGTGAAAAAGGAGAAGATTGGAAGGGGTATTCTCTTTATGCAATGTGAAATTTTCATTGGCCTTTAAAAAACAAGTGCGTGGTTTGTTTTTGGGGAAAAACACCCACATGTAAATAAAATATCTTTCATTGGACTAAAGCCTAAATGACAATTTTTGTCTACTTATAAGGTGCCCAACTTGTTTTGTGGTCCATTGGCCTAATGAATCACAAAAGATCCGTAAATTAGGCAAAGGAAGGCCTGCTGTATGAAAAATATATTTTCAAATATGCGCACACGATATGAGAGGGAGGCTGGTGGGAATGGACTGGATCACTATTTTATAGAATTCCCTTGCACCTTGGTTGAAATCTTTATTTGGAAATGAGCAGCTTGCAAAATATCGGTGGTTGTCTCACAGATTTTTGCTATTGAAATGAAGGGGTTCCCATGCGAGATGTCAGTTATCCAACCACTGATATTTCATGGGCCTCTTTCTTAATATTAAATAATCCTTGGAATATTGAGTTACAGAGACCTTAATATTTCACTGGCGTCTCTTTTTTTTTCTTTATCAAAAACAAAATACTAATTTGGAAGATAACGGTTTGTTGAAAACACACTCCTTTCAAGAAATAAGAATAAACAGCCTGTGGAATATTAGGTTTTTGTAACCCAATTTTCTAGTAAGCTTTTCAAAAGAGTTTGGGCCCATGAAATAGCGGTGGTTGGGCCACCACTGTTTCACTATCTGCCGTTATCCCTTTATATGAAGATTCCAGCCACCAGGATTTTGGGGGGGTCCGGGGGATAATAGAATTCACCATGTATGATGCATTTAAATAATTTCACTTGTATGTTAATGATAAAATGTTCCTGTATTTCCCTTAGACCCAACCTATTCCTTGTTTTTAACCCCGTTTTCTCTGTGTGTATCCTTGGTGAACTTTTTGACGCGCAATTTCTTATTTTTTATTATTTTTGTCTTTTGAGTTTTTTGTTAAGGTCTGTTTTTCTCATGTGATGGCCGTAGCTGGTAGGCCATATTTTTAAGAAAACGGAGAATTTGAAATTCTTTCTGTACATGTTATTTTTCCATTAGAAATGAGTTATGGACTGGTCTTGACCATTTGTCTAGGTCTTCATAACGATAGATAGTTCCATTGATATGCCTTTTGAGACTATTTTGGATGTGGTGACACAGAAAAAGAAAATCTGTGTTTGTATGGATTGCCTAATGAGTCGTGGGAGGTTAATCTGCCTGCTGAGGAGGTGCCACCTGAGCTACCTGAACCTGCACTTGGGATAAATTTTGCTAGGGATGGGATGCAAGAAAAGGATTGGTTATCTCTTGTTGCTGTTCATAGCGATGCATGGTTACTTGCTGTGGCATTCTACTTTGGTGCACGCTTTGGGTTTGACAAAAATGATAGGTAACATGTGAACTTCAAAGTAATGATTTTTCTGTGAGGGTTCTGTTTATTTGTTTAATGCTAATTCACTTATGTGCAATTAGTCGTACAATTACATACTATTTTATGCAATAAAGTCGACTTTTCTTTGAAAAAGAAGAAGAATATGCTAATTATATTATGTGCTCTAGATTATTTATCTGAAGATCTTCTCTTGTTTATTGATAATTTTTTGGGGAACTTTAGTTTTCTACTTTACAGAATGTAGCAGTTTTCACTTAACTTGGTGTTTCAATTACACAGTAGAAATTAAATGTCTCTTTTATTTTACATTTTTTATGATTCATTATTATGCAATTGTTCCATTTAACTACTTGAAGCTATTGCCTCAGCTCATGACCATCCTTGGCCTATGTTTTTTGCTATGTTTAATTCTCTTTCTTTGATGTATTTGGTTATGCTGGCATATGTTCTATATGTATTACAAAAGAATATTGGTGTGAGATACTTTAAACTATTCCGACTGATAATGTACGGCCAGTGTCATAATTTCTGTTGGCTGTTACAAATAGAGAGAGTCTCTCCTTTTATTTTTTTGTCAAGCATTAAATCTAACCTTGATTTTTGAAAATACAAGTCATGAATACATACAATTTTCATCATCAAGTTGGATAATTGGCAATGGTATAATTACAAATTAATTTTTTGCTTTTTAGCTTGTAATGACCATCCATTTAGCATTTAACCTTAAGGTTTATTGCATTACGTATTTGTGGTTCCTTCTTTGGCTATGGATTTGGGTTATGGAAGTCTTCTCTACTTCTTAATGTATGGATATATTATTGGCATATTTTTCCTTTTAAAGCATATGCATTTGGTCTAGGCCTTTGGGGCAACTTGATTATTATTGTACACATCCGACTAAGATTTATTTAATAGAAAATTTCAAATGAAGATTTTATAAAAAATGATAATTAAGAAAAAATCCCTGAGATTTTATCTGTGAATAATGGATACATACTATATAACTTTGAAACTTTTTAATATCTGTGGCTGTTATGGGCATGGTGAATCTTAATTTATTACCTGCATCATTGATAGAATCATACTTTTTAATTCGAGTACAAACATGCCAAAGCCTTGATCACGTTGGCTTCCACCCCATGAGGATCTAGCAACTTTATACGATCTAGCAATGTTTAAATTTCACCTTGCTTGCAGCTCTTTGGGTAACCAGGTAAAGCAAAGGGCGGTGGAATCTTTATTATTCATGTGGGCTCTCCTTCCATGGTCTAATCAGGCTTCATGAGATAACTTGATTCTTATGAAGCTAATTCTGGATCCCTCCTTGCTTGCCTCTCATGAAATTCAAGTGATTTTGGCACAGATTTACTCAACGCTTCCAATTTCATTGCTTTGGGCCTCCACCTTGCTACTTCACCTGTTTGCTAGAGGAGGCCTTCAAAATTATCAACTGGTAAGCTCCCACTAGAGGAATGGAGATGAATCAGAGTGTTCCAAATAAACATATCAGATTTGAGCCCAAGCTTCAAAGTTTGGGTATGGAATTGCTTAGCCATTGAAATTGACGATAGCCTTGAAAAAGCTTTGAGCAAGAATGGGGAGGGCGGGAGGGAGTTGGAGCTTCTAAGCTAGAAGCCTAAACTTCCTTCAAAAAGATATCAGCTGAAAACCCATAAGTCTTGGGCCAAAAACCAGACATCCAACCGTCCTCAAGCGCCTTCAAAACTCAACAACAATGACCTCTTTGATGAACAAAAGTTTGACGAATTCAACCTCCCAAAACTATGGCCTCTCTGACGAGCAAAAGGATGATGATGCAGGGTTCAAGGGCCTTGCAGGTATTGGTAGCAAAAAGGAGAGAGAAAGATCTATTGGGATAGAGAGAAAGTCAGGGGATGCTAGATAAAGTGATGATAGGGAAAAACGAAGTCAAGAGGAGAGAGAAAGTCATTGGTGGGGTAGAGAGAGAGAGAGAGAGAGAGAGAGAGAGAGAGAGAGAGAGAGAGAGAGAGAGAGAGAGAGAGAGAGAGAGAGAGAGAGAGAGTAGAGAGAGAGAGAGAGAGAGAGAGAGAGAGAGAGAGAGAGAGAGAGAGAGAGAGAGAGTACGCGAGAGTAGG